GAAGTTTTTTTGTTGAAAATGCAGATCACGCTCACTTGATTAGACCGAAATTGCAATTGAGATTTTTAAAAATACGACAAGAACTCCTCCAAGCAGCTCCGAGAGCCTATGCGGCAGAGCTCGCGGAGATATTTTGTAGAAGGTGTGAGTGATTAGTGACATCTGAGCGAATATTACATATAATTCGGCAAGATATCTTCATGTGGAGCTAGATTTGCAAGTTCAGACACTGAGAGGAAGCATCCTTCCAGCCTGTCTAGTTACTTTGATGGCAGAGCTTATCGAGATCCTGTATGTAAAGTGGAAGTATTGTTGTCAGCCATGCACTAGCTAGAAAATCTCATCGTATCCATTCTGAAACATGATTCTTACCAAAAATATTTTCTCTAAGCAACCTAGTAAGATAAAGTCATTTTTATTTCATTTGCAAAGCACTTAACAGTTTGAAGTTAAGTACATTTAGGAAGTCCATCTTAGTAACTATTGAAAAGGAAGGTCATTTTCAATCATATTTTTCCAAGTACTGTTTGTCCTGTTACATGATTTGCAAAATATGCAGATAATATATGAGTCTCGGGCTTGCATTGCTTCACTTGGAAACCAGATATATGCGCAGGTCAACGACTAAGGTACAGTTCCAGGCGAGTCGCTCAAATCAGCAATAGTGAGGGATGTAATTATGGCAGGATTACATAATTATTTCACCCAATAATTTAAACTACTTGATTTCATTCAAAATTTCTTGAAACAGTCGAATATATGTGTTAACATTTGTAGCAAGCTGCAAAAGTAAGAGAATGGCAGAATGGCGAATTCACATTAAGTATCTGTAGTTGTACTTAGTTACAAATATTTTCTTATTATTAATGCAGTTATCTTGTAGGGTTAAATTTAAAATTAATTCTGGAATTACTTAACAATTAGTATTTTCAAGGATTATGCAGATAACAATTCATTGATTTATAACACTCTCCTTCTAATTACCTATATATTTTGACATATTTTTTTAACATAACTGTGCAAATGGCACCATTTTTATGGTTGACTCAGAATAAGGCAGCTTTATAATGCGCTATTATAAGTCAAAAATAGATGACTTCTCAAAAATACATGAACAGTTGCTAGCATGCTAACGCTATGCTAAATATTGTTCGTTGATGTCTTTATTTAAAACCACCCGTAGCGCAGTTGCTGAAATTCTAATGCAATGCTAGCGATATAGGTATACTTTATCCCTATCTCTGATCATTTTCTATCCTTTGGCATCTTTGATCTGTTATCTGTTATCTGGTATCTGGTATCTGGTATCTGTTATCTGTTATCTGTTATCTGTTATCTGTTATCTGTTATCTGTTATCTGTTATCTGTTATCTGTTATCTGTTATCTGTTATCTGTTATCTGTTATCTGTTATCTGTTATCTGTTATCTGTTATCTGTTATCTGTTATCTATTACCTGTTATCTGTTAACTGTTATCTTTTATCTGTTATCTGTTATCTGGTATCTGTTATCTGTTATCTATTATCTGTTACCTGTCATCTGTTACCTGTTACCTGTTATCTGTTACCTGTTATCTGTTTTCAGTTTTCAATTTTCAATTTTCAGTTATCAGTTATCCCTTATCAGTTATCAGTTATCAGTTACCTGTTATCTGTTGGCAGTTACCAGTTATCTGTTATCAGTTATCAGGTGTCAGTTATCAGTTATCTGTTATCGGTTATCAGTTATCTGTTATCAGTTATCAGTTATCAGTTATCTGTTATCTGATATCAGTTGTCTGTTGTTAGGTGTCAGTTGTCAGGTGTCATTTAACTGTTATCTGTTATCAGTTGTCAGTTGTTAGGTGTCAGGTGTCGTTATCTGTTATCTGTTATTTGTTATCTGTTGTCTGTATCTGTTATCGTTTATCTAAATCACTCTGTAGTGTCTTGATTTTTGCAAAGCTTTACCACAAATATGTATCTCTATGGGGTCTTTGCAACATGTATAAGTTTGTTGATAGCACAAATCTTCGTTTTGGTTCTGCGAGTTTTTGTTTTGTTTTGAGGAGTTAACCATTGTATGCGCAGAATCACACTGTAGTTCCCTGAGTTTTTTGCAAAATTATACCATTAAGATCTACTCCTATGAGATCTCTACAATATATATGAGATTGTTGGTGGTACATTTCTTCGTTTGGGTTATGCGATTTTTTTCTGTTATAAGCAGTGAAGCCTTGTATCTGCAAAATCACCCTGTAGTCCCCTGATTTTTTGAAAAGCTATACCACAAATATGTGCTTCTATGAGGTCTATGAAAGATGTATAAGTTTGTTGACAGCACAATTCTTCATTTGGATTCTGCGAGTTTTTGTTTTGTTTTGAGGAGTTAACCATTGTATGCGCAGAATCAGCCTGTACTTCCCTGAGTTTTTTGCAAAATTATACCCTTAAGATGTACGCCTATGAGGTCTCTACAATATATATGAGATTGTTGGTGGCACAGATCTTCGTTTGGGTTCTACAATTTTTTTATGTTACAAGGGATCAACACTTGAATGCTCAGAATCACCCTGTAATCCCTGATTTTTTGCAAAGCTATGTCATCAAGTTGTACTCCTACAAGGTTTCTACAATGTTTATGATTTTTTTGGTGGTACAGTTCTTCGTTTGGGAAAAATTCAACAGAAGCAGATGAACAATGCTCGCTTTATGATCTGGAGAAAAATGTGCTGTCGCTTTAAAATAAAATTTCCTCTATTTTTTTTAATGTTATATGATTATGATCAATCTTAGAAACATCAATAACATCTTAAAAAATTAGACCAGAAGCTTGAAATCAAATTCGGCTATATCATGGTTAACCCAAGATTCAATATTTGCTCTATTCACTACAGGCCTTTCCGAAAAGTTTACATTAAAATGATATGTACGTACTGTGAAAAAATAAACGAAACCTTCATGGAGGTCATTAACTGAATATAGTCCATTCCAATTGTCCGCTACGAGGGACTGTGCGAATTTCTGAATATTATTTTCATTACATATAATTTCTTCTTTTTGACTATAGTTTAAGTGATCAAACTTAGTTACGAACTTTACAGCTCTATTACCAGAAATAATATTATCTTCCACTTAAGCCTGAATGTTTTTGTTACTAGCAAGGTTATTGACGATTAATACGTGTAAGCTCAGTAAATAAAGGACCAGTCAAACGTCAGGCTTTCGGAGTAATAAGGTACAAAGTCAATACCATATATATATACTAAGTGACATATAAATCCGAACACCCAGTTTAAATGGTTTTATTTTAATAAAAGTTGGTGAATGTATTTATCTTACTGTAAATAACAAGTAAAAAAAATTTCAGCCTTATCAGTTGGACATTCCGGTTTTTATACTGTTTTTTTTTAATTCACTAACGCTCTAAAAATGAATATTTCAGCCGCAGTAAAGAATCAACGTTGGCGGATTTTGGTTCTTGACATCCTTTACGATCGGTTACGATGCCTAGAGTACGGAGACCTGTACGAATTCGTCAACTTAGTGAGTTTGATAGGGGCCGTATAGTGGGACTTCGGGAAGCTGGACTTTCTTTTCGGGCAATTGCAGTTAGAGTGCAAAGAAGTGTAGACACTGTGGTTAGGTGTTGTCAGGCATGGCTTCGAGGAGGCCGTACGCAAAAAGCAAGGGGCACTGGACGCCGCCGTAGAACAACAGACCGTGAAGATCGCCGCCTAAGATTATTGGCCTTAAGGGAGCGTTTCTCCACTACCAGGTCCATTGCAAATGAATGGTTTGCAGAACACGGAAGACCTATTGGCATGCGAAGTGTTTACCGACGAATGAGAAGTTTTGGCTTGTTTTAATACCGGCCACACTGGGTCCTCCCTTTAACTCGAGAACACCGACGTAATCGCCTTGAGTGGTGCAGACAACGGTCACTCTGGGATCAGGAATGGAACAGTATTGTCTTTAGTGACGAGTCTCGATTTTGTTTAGGCATGCACGATGGTCGTGCCAGGGTTAGAAGGCGACGTGGTGAAAGGAGGAATCCACAGTTCTTTGTTGAAAGACATGTTCATCACACTGTTGGAGTTATGGTTTGGGGTGCTATAGCTTATGGTTCCAGGTCACCTTTAATCTTCATCAGAGGTAACATGAACGCGCAGCGTTATATCCACGAAGTTCTAGAACCCCATCTTTTACCCTATCTTGACACCCTGACAGATCCAACTTTCCAACAAGATAATGCCCGACCATATGTTGCAAGGGTCACAATAGACTTCTTTCAACATAATGATGTCACATTGTTACCATGGCCACCAAGATCTCCCGACTTATCCCCAATTAAGCACGTGTGGGATATGATGGGTAGGAGATTGCTCAATTTGCAACGTCCTCCTCAGACTCAGAAGCACTTCGAGAGGAGTTGGTGGTTGCCTGGAATGGGATACCACAGGAGGACATTGACCACCTGATCAGAAACATGCCTAGGCGCGTTGGAGAATGCGTAGCACATCAGGGTGCATCCACACATTATTAAAGGTCAAAGGGCTTTAAAGCAGTGCAATCATTTTGAAATTTTTATCATTTACTTATTATGCTTATTATGCTATTAAAATAAAACCATTTAAACTGGGTGATCGGATTTATATGTCACTTAGTATATAAGGTAAGGACTTATAACAATCGACTTATGTTGTGACGTCCAAACAATAGAACACAGTACACCATATGGACACTCATACCAAAAGAGCACATACACGTTCTCGAGAAAAATTGTATGGTATAGAAGTAAAATTGAATACAAATGGTGAATTACCATATATATTAAATAAATTTTTGACGCCAATTTTATTCGGAAGCGGGAGAAGTGTTACGTGTGACCACCTTGTAAGGTTTTATACGCGCCAACTGCACTTTACAGTGTCAGCTAAAGTACTATCTTTTATATCCAATAAAGATTATTTTTCAATATTCCAGCGTTTCACAATTCTCAGCTACACTATCGAGACTTACCTGAAGATATAGGTCGCATAGGGCATGTCATGATGTTTTCACATCGTTGTCCATCGATGTTAAACTCTTCGTTTTCTATGTAGAGCTTGATAAAAGGCAGCCTAGTGTTGAGATAGTATCTACAATGCAGGTTCCTAGGATAGACTCCTGGATAGGCAGGCGATTGGACATAACAAGTCTGCAGTCGACAATCTCTGAATATCCTTTCGCAGTATGATCTGGAAGAAATTAATTTAGAAATAAAATTACAGAAACTGATTCTTACTATATAGTAACAAACAGTATACAGGGTGGCCCATCCATGTGTGGACGGAATACTACTCTTAAACAAGTACATTTTGGGAAAATCTAAATGAACTTTTCTAAAGAAGAAATGGTGAACAAGGTGTTTGTTATGGGCGAAGCCCTAAGAAATAGTTTCCTAGCATTTCGCATTTATAAGCAACGGTACCCTAATATGCGACATCCAAGGCCGGAAACATTTTCCACACTACGAGAACGTTTTGAATCAAGTGGAGCAGTGGAATATAGTATAAAATGTATAAATACTCCAAGTGTTACCAATAAGGCGAATCAGTTGGAGGTTCTGTTAAAGCATAGGTACCATCCATATCACCTATGCTTGCATCAAGGCCTTCGTCCTCAAGATTTCGCAGCTCGAATGGAGTTTCGTAGAATAATGCTAAATAAAGTGAGTGAAGACACTACTTCTCTGGAAAAGGTTCTTTTTAGCGATGTGGCAACTTTTAACAGCATAGGTGTTGTTAACAGGTATAACATGCACTATTATGCGACGGAAAATTCTTACTGGGTTAGGCAAATAATAAATAAATTTCCAAAATAAATGGAGCTTGAATGTTTGGGGAGGAGTTATTGGCAGACAAGTTATCGGGCCTTTCTTTTTCGACAACAGATTAATAGTTACAGAATACTTAAATTTTTTGATCGAGCATTTACCTTTGCTTTTGGAGGATGTCAACATGCAAACTCGGATGCATATGTACTTACAACATGACGGCGCACCTGCGCATTATCATAATCGTGTGCGTAACCATTTGGACACCTGGAGAACAATCGTTGGATCGGTCGTGATGGGCCTATATCTTGGCATCCTAGATCACCAGATATGACACCGATGGACTTCTTTCTATGGGGCTACGTTAAGGATGCTTTTCTGAACATAAGGGAACACATGCTGAGGGATGTGCAACGGTCATTCATCCAAAGACTACGGCTATGTATTCAACATAGTGGAGATATTTTCGAGCAGTTTTTGTAGATTAGGTCTTGAGTAGTGATAGTTGTTTGTTTATGTTGTTGTTATAGTTGTTTTTCTCTATTACGCTTGAAGCTGATTTATACTGTACTGATTGTTATTAGTTGTTATGCCAAATCTGTACTCTTAGTCGCAATATGGAACTAGCCCACTGTTTGTCCTTTGTTTCCATGGATGATGTGATTTTTTTCCTTAATTTTGGTGTGTTGTTCTATTAAAAGCATAATAACTCAAAATCTGGTAATTTTATCTGAATCAAATCTTATACAAAAAAAAGGTTATAAAAATTGAATCCAAACTTACACAAATACAGGGTGATGCATTTCAAGTTTTTGAGAAAAAGTACAATTCGCGTTTTTGACCACCCTGTATGAGCAAAAATGAAGATTCGAAACAGTAGCTAATAAGATAAACGCTTTTTTTGATACAAAATTCAGCACTCCAAATTTCAAAATGGCGGATTGAGGGGTTGCCGAAGTGGACGTCTTTTCTGGGCAAAACACCTTACATCTCAGTATCTAATTACCAAAACCCCATAATATGTTATATCAATCTTCTTCTTTTGAACTGTTATATCCAAATCACAACTTTGATATGTAGCTCAAAATTGGGACACCCTGTATAATTTCCAATATCTTAGAAATGTGCCCTCAAATGTCATGTATAACATGCCATATATAGATTTTCCCAAAATGTATTTGTTTATGAGAAATATTCCGTCCACACATGGATGGGCCACCTTGTATACAAAAGGGCATATATTACTAGACATACTTAAGAAAAACTCCACAGGGTTACATCTGAACCTTCTTCCATATTTTGGACAGTTGATGAAGACCTAGTACTTAGGAACCCTTGAGTAAAAAGTTTAGTGGGGCCCAGGGCCGCGATTTTGACTTAGGCCGAGGGGCTCTTGAATCGAATATTCTCTCAGGTCCATGTTAGGTCTATCTTGAAATTAGAAAACGTCTTGAAATATGCATTTATACAATACTAGATCATCTCGAATCAAGGGCATCATTTAGACCAACAGAAAAAAAGATCTTACGTTGACGCCCGGTGTTTAAGCTTGACACTGTCGATCCTTCCTTAACAAGTTTTTTCTGCTAAAGTGGATAAAGCACTGTTCAATTCCCAAAATTCTCTCTGACGCATTATCCGAGAATCAGCTGCCAGATGGTGTTACTCAAAACAAAATAGATTACCCGGACCCTCAAATAAAATCTCTTTTTTAGCCTTAACGTTTACAAGAATTTTATTTCTCCCCCATAAACCTTGTTAGCGTCACCTTTGACGTGGATTCGATTGGGTACGTGTCTCTTTAAGAACATCGGGGTCCTCATCATTGTAAAAGATAACTAAGGAGAAAGCTGGTAATGTTTGAAAAGAAAATCCACTGACTCTTCCTTCGTCAATTGAAAAAAAAATAAACCGCTTTAAATCAATTATAGGTATATTACTCAGTAATACATCCTCAATTTAAAAAAATGCTTTGAATACTAAATCAATTTTTTCGCTACTATCCCGAGAAATCGCCATTATTTAACCCATTCCTCTTAGAAGAAATTACATTTTTCTCTCTAGGTAAATAATGATAATAGAAAATAGGGTAAATAGTATGAGCATTCATGCAGAGCTTCTTTGTCCTCTTGAACACTGATTTTCATCATTAAACCCTTTATTTATTTTTTAATGTAACCAATAAAATTATTGTTTTCTACGTGTAAATCCAAAAGTCTAATTTCTGTCTAATGTTATTGTTTTCTACGTGTAAATCCAAAAGTCTAATTTCTGTCTAATGTTATTGTTATTGCTTGTGCTTATCCCATTTTCGCAGCTTGAAAGTCCCAGGCTACTTGATAAATTGGAATATTTGAAAATGATTGGGAAACGGAAAATGTATACTGGTTGTTTCAAATTCGACTCTCACCACTGAGATCTCAACGGTCAGCGATACGAGGTAAGTTAAATGGGGGCAAGGTTGCGCATTTAGGTAACTGAGAAAATGACCCATAGAGTTTCGAGTATTTTCGGGGATGAGGAAAGAAGCCGATTTTTACAAAAATCTTTTCATTTTTTCCTGGATTTATATGAAATGGGATTTCAAAATAAACGGTACATTGACGTTGAAACTTTTTCTGCTCTACAAGATGGCATAATCATAATTTCACTATCATACTTCGTCTCTTGTTCTCAATCATGAACTTTATTTTTTCTGATAGACGTCATAATGGATTTTTTCTCAGGTGGATAGAGTTTTTATTTCTGATTCCAAAACTGTATAGTACGAGCCCCTTCCCACTTCAGATGGCCCAACTATTGAAATCTTAGTTTTTTTCTTATCAAACACAAATAATAAAAATGTAGCACGGTGTTATAGGTGTAAAACATTAACAATGAATATTTTGATAATATATAGTAGAAAACACCAACTTTATCACTCCCTAATCAAATTTGCAGCATAAAAATAGCACATGTTGCAATTCCAGCATATCAACCTATTTTCATTTCAATGCAAAATAAGTCTATAACGCATAGGTGGCTGTGAAAAATAAAAGCCATGACAATTGTTTTTATTAATCACAGCTGTCGGAATACGTTTAAAATAGTTTTGGGTAGTTAAGGTTTTCAAAATGGGTACAGGAAAGGTTATTAGTGAGAAAATTTACTGATAATTAAATTTTTTAATTCTGGAAAATCAAACTCAGAAATTGCAACTTTGTTAGACTTATCGCGGTACTGTGTGAGAAATATTGTTAGAAGATATAACGTAACTGGTTCAGTTAATATTAAGCCTCGATATGTGAAAAAAAGTAATATCACAAATGCCGACCGAATAGCATTAAGAAGACTAATCGTGAAAAACAGGCGTGCCAATTATTTACAATTAAGTGCTCTGTAGAGTGACGCTGTTGGAAGGAGAATTTCGAGGCCCACAACTCATAGAGAGGCCCTCAAACTGGGATTTAGCACTTGCAAGGTAAGTTTTCTTATAAAAAAAAGTGAAGTAAAAACCCTAAAGTTGCACAACTTGTTTATAGGCCAAAGAAAAGCCACAATTAACTCCACTCCAAAAGAAAAATCGGCTTAGATGGGCTAAAGAACATAGACAATGGACACCTCAACAATGGTGTGCAATACAATGGAGTGATGAGGCGCGATTCGAAGTTTGTGTTGGTGACAGTCGCAGTAGAGTTATTCGCAAAAAAATGAAGCATTCCATGTTGACTGTCTGAAGAGAACAGTGAAATTTCCAGCATCCATTATGGTCTGGGGCAGTATGTCATCAAAAGAAGTAGGAAAACTTCATTTTATTGATGGAAATGTGGATACAAACAAATATTTAGCAATTTTAGAAGAATCGCTTTTACCTGTGATGGAAGAGTGTTTGACATTCGGCCAAGATTTTGTGTTTCAGCAAGATGGTGCAGCGTGCCATACCTCAAAAAAGGCTATAAAATGGATGGAAGAAAATAATGTACCATTTTTGAAATGGATTTCTAGCAGTCCAGATCTGTCACCTATTCAAACTTTGTGGCACGAGATGAAAAAGGTTCTACGACAACATCCTGCTCGTACAATCACCGAACTGAGACAAAAGCTTCAAGAAATATGGGATTTTTTTACACCAAATTTTTGCCAAAACTTGGTTAACACTATGCCCCAAAGAATTTCAGTCGTAATAAAAAATAAAGGTGATGTTACCCAAGGGTAATCTTTCAATTGTTGCTTTGTTAACTTGCGCATTTATTCGCACATTGTCTATTTGTTCAGATGTTCTATTAGTTATAGGTCTAAGTGATTTCAAATATGTACTTTTTACGACTAGAGTGTATCTAAAATTTTTTGAGAAAATAAATTGTTTTAGAAGTAAATAGTTTCGTCATGTTTAGTTTATAAAGGCATATTTTGGTACAAATCTTGAAGTGGGCCAACTGAATT